ATCTGGAAAATCGCATTTATTTTAAAGTCTTCAAATATCGCAGAAAATGGAGAAGACAAGCTTCGACTAAAACAACAAGATTTGTTTTTCTTGGTATAAATTTATTAATTAGTTTTAATTAAAAAAAATTTGCTCAGATGTTTTTTTTAACATTCTCTTTAATATAAACACAACATGTCTTGGGACTTGGTGGTTTAAGGCGTTTTGAAAAACAGCTACAGTATGGATGATACAACGAATGTTAAAATGAGATAATTTGACGCAAAATTTAAAAGCTCTTAACAAAAGCCACTAAACCAAAAAAATTAAAAATAATTGCTTATAAATTTTATTATAGTGAAATTTTGATTTTAGTGAATATAGTAATTGTAGTTCAAAATTTTATTATAGTACTTAAAAATGTTATTATAATGCGTTGGTTTTTGCCAAGAAACGCTATATAAATCATTTTTTAATGTTAATATAAACTTATTTTTTTTCTTAATTTGTTGCACTTAGCCATCTCTATATAAACAATGTATGTATAAATATATATGCTATTTGTTTATATATTGTTTATAAAATGTAAAAAAATTCACTTATATAACATTTTATTCAGGATCGTATGTAATATAAATAAACTTTTCTAATAATTACAAATTTTTTTTGCTCAAGCTGTTTTGTTTTGATTTTTTGTAGTTATGTTATTATATTTTAAAAAATTGACAAGATTAAAAAAACACGAAACATATTGTCACTTCCAAGTGGAAAATTTGAAACTTCAACTTTAGATTTGCTCTTCTCTCAATAATTTCTGATTTATGTCATCTGCTTTTTAGACCTTTAAAAATAATAGTCGTAGAAATAAGATTTTATTTCAATTTTTTATAAAAACTCTATCTATTAAAGATATATGGAATACATTTTTATGGAATATAATCTAATAAAGACAAAAAGGGCCATCCATAAAGGATGTCATCCAAATAGGGAGGAGGGAGGGGTTCGAGATAAAAAGGACAAAAAAGAACAAGGGGGAGTTTGTCAGAAAAAGACGTCATTTTATAAATTTTTATAAAATATGTAAATATGTGTTTTTAAGAAGATAATGTATGAGAATATTTTTAATTTTATTTTTCAAAGGTGTAGCAGCAGATTCAAACATCATTGCGAGATGAAATAATTTTTTTGGGGGTTTAAATTAGGGGGGGGGGGCAGGATTTTATGGCATTCTTTTCAAGGAGGTATAGGGAAAAAGGATAACCAGTGACAAAGGGGGGCGGGGGTCATAAATTGGCTTAAAAATGATGACTTCCTTTATTGATGGCCCCAAAAAAATTTATTTATTACTATTGTAATACAATCTCTTATCCGTGAAAATAATATATCTATACAAGTTTTATATATTTTAATGCATTTTGTATGCAACTTAATAAAAATTGATAAAAAAATATAAGATAAATCCAAAAGGAAACTTGACGCATAAAGGTTTATTTTGCCACAAACTAACGTCAATTCCCAAAATCATTTTGGTTTAACTTTTATTTTTAGCCTTTTTATTATTCTTTTAGTTCTTAATCATAAGAATTAATTTTTTTTTATGACTTTTTATGTTCTTAGATCTTCTTAATTTCATTTGTATAGCGTTATGTACAAATTTATGTAAGTGTTAACTCCTTTTATGTTGAGTTTGCAGGCATTTTACTTGTATGAAATTGTGCAAATCATTAAAAAAAAATTGAATTGAAAAAAAAAAGGAGAAATATAGTATTCATTTATTTCCCAAATTATTGCTTTTTTGTAGATAAAGTAATTGGGTGGTGAAATTAACATCTGTATTAAAATAATACAGATAGAAGTGTTTATTCAGATTTCATGATGTTTGCGGCAAAGGTTCACCAAACTGCACAAAATTCATCAACTTACCCTATAGGCTTTTTCTAAATCAGTTTCTATAAAATTGATCAACTTTGTATAAAATTTTATAAATGTTGTACTTTGACAAATAATTAAAATTAATTTGTACTAGAGTATGTTAGCACTAGAATCTAAAGCAGATAAGCACACTTTTCCAAAAAATTTTAACTAAAGGCACCATTTCTAAATAAATAAAACTTAAAAAATGACATTGCACTTTATAAAATAGAAGAAAATAAAAAATGAATAAAAAAAAATTATATAATTAAAGTCATAAATTAACATAACAAATAGAGAGAACTGATTATTTATATTAATTTTTTTAATATAGATATTTCTTTTTAGATTTATTTGTATTTAAGATCTTCTTTAAGCATTTTACTTATTTTTTTATTTAAGATCGAAATTGTTTTAATAAAATCAGAAGCTGTAATTTAAAGTTAAAATTTTTTTTGACTGAAACTGTATCTGTAAAACTGAGATGTCACAAATGAAATGTCACTATGACAACAACAAATGAAATGTCATTGTATTTCAACATTTTTACAAATGAAATGTTACTGTATTTCAACATTTTTACAAATGAAATGTCACTGTATTTCAAAACTTGAAATTCATATAAACAATAGTTTTAATGTTTGGAAATCTGTGGAAATAGTTTTAATGTCTGGAAATCTGTGGCTTAATCTGCAAGCAAAGTAACTCCACATTTTTGTAAATTGGATTTTATTGCAGTAACAGGTTTTCTTACTTCAAATACTACTGTACAAATGTGTCATTTTGTTTTTAGTAATTATTTTAAATACATAAGTATGAAAAAATAAAAATAAAAATTCCAGTAAACCAAACTGTGCTTCTGCACAGTTTGGTTTACTGGAATTTTTATTGTTATTGTTTGCAGATTAAGCTTTAAAAATTTATCTGTTTTATTAGGTATTAATAATGTAAAAGTAATAATAATCAATTTTGTTCATGATTATCACATAATTATGTCATTTAATTAATCTTAAAAAAATTATTAAGACATATATTTGCAAAAATATATTGCACATTAAAGCTGAAAATTTTTGCACAAGTAATTTATCTGTTTTAGGTAACATGTTTTGATACTAGAGTTCCTGTAGTTAATGCCACAGTTTTTATTGGTGTTGTAAGTTGAGTAATATATATCAAGTAGGCAACGTTAAAAAAAATCATAGCTGTAGGTACACTAATAAATGAAAAAAAACAACATACTGCTTATTCAAAAGTTCTTTTGTTTTGAAAATGCTTTTAAACCAAAGAATTAAGACTTTTTTTAAGAAGAAATTTCCAATAAGTTTAATCAAAATATAAAACTAAATATATATCAAAAGTTTTTAAAAAAAGTTTTATTTTATACATTTATACTTTGTTTTTATCTTCCTTAATTACTTTTTTAATTATGTGAGTTAAGAGAAATTTGGTCACAAACAAAAATTTACTTTTAATGAATTTGTTACGCTTTATATTAACTTATCAGGTTTGAAATATTAAAAAGTAACAGTAAAATTTTTAAAACATTCTTTAAAAACAGATTTTCATTGTAAAAAATACCAATAAAAAATTACTTTTTAATGCTTGTTACATAATTTGTATAATATTTTGTAAAGCGTTTTTAAATTTTAATTAAGTTGCATTTATCCTTGTTTTGTTTATAAATGTAGTATATACTTTGTTTATGCACATAAAATACTCAACCTGTAGTATTTGATACAAAAGTTTACAAAGTACTGCGCTCATTTTTACTTGACATTCTTTTGGTTAATGATTCTAAAGAAAAAATTTGTATATAGTTTGTATAAATTTATACAAGAAACATAGCAAAAAAAAATAGCAAACTTATATCTTCTAATGCCGCCCCCCCTCCCCACCCTCTTTTATCTAGTTGTATTTCTGATAATGATAAAATAATTTATCCTGATTAGAAATCGTATTGAAAGATTAGTCATGAATGAAATTTACTTTCTAGTCCAGAATGCTAAGCTAGAAAGTAATTTTAATCTGCAAGCTCTATCTCTTAATTAAACAACTTATGTATTGATAATCATATAGTTAATTATTTTATAATTATTTTCATTTTATAAAACATACTGCAAAAACAAAAATCTTAATTAAAGTTGAATATATAACTTAAATAAACAACTTAACATCTTAATTAAACATTTAAATTATTATTTTGGCAATACATTTATATAATGTTAAAACTTTTATGAATGCATTTGTACATTGCTTCAAATTTTTTGCCTACCTCAAACACTTTTAGGTTGGCAGTTAGGTCAACATTAACGAATGGTGACCCTAATTTTGAGGTTGATTATTTATGTTCTACATCCAAAAGTAATAATTATGACCAAAAAAAATTGACAATACAACAACAACTTTATATTTTTAATCAAATGTACTGTATTTTTTATTTTTCCTTTGAGTTATTGGAAGTAATTTGCTAAAAAGGCACAAAATATAGTTTATCTTAACAGTTGTTTGATCCAAGGTTTAACTTAACCAGAGATTTTTATTAGTAAAGAGTAATATAATATAATTAACAATAATATTATTTAAGGAGTTTGAAACAGTTTTAAGAAGTTTGAAACAGTTTTAAGTTAAAGTTAATCAGTCATATATAGTCCTTGCCAGCCGAAGCAATAAGTTTATGGAATTGACACCTGCTAGTCAATGTAAAATTGTAACCAAGGATTTTTTATGTGGCCTCAACAATTCTTATTAAAAACACTAACTGGGACACTTGTCATGCACAAAATGAAACTTTGAACACTCTAATATTTTTACTAGAACAAATAGTTGCAAAACATTTCTGGAATATATTACTGGAACAAAATACTGAAACTACTAATAGAAAAAAATAATGTAAGAAAGCATGCCTGATTGTTTTTTTTTTTTTTTTGGTGATATTACATATGAATACAAAATATACTAAAATTGTATACATAAGGGATGCATACAGATAACATTTTTTTTATACAAAAGCTTAATACAAGAAACACATAACAGCCAAGAAGTAAATCAAAATATTAAAAAGGTTTTAGAAATATTTTTTGAGAATTATTTTGTGTTTTTTTTCTTTTTAGTTTTACCTTCATCAAATTTTGCTTGGCTTTGCAATAATAAAAGTTCACACTTAATTGTTTTTGATGATAATCCGTTGGATCCGAATTCTAAACCAAAATTTTTGGCTGGATCGAGTTATTATTTAATAAGTATTTTTAAATTTTTTATTATTATCAATTTTAAAGTAAAAAAAAAAAAGGATTATGTATTTAAGTTTTGTTTTATGTGTTTTTATGTATGATAATCATTTTATATTTGTAATTTTGATAAGATGATCTCCTGACAAGATTATGCATAGGACACAAATTGATTTAAAACATAAATGATTAACTAAACAATCGTATATATATATATATATATATATATATATATATATATATATATATATATATATATATTATATATATATATATATATATATATATATATATATATTTTAAACAGGTTTACATAGAACACACATTGTGGACAAAGCTTTTATTTTACTTTAAGTAAACGATTGTTTTCTAAAACATAAATATATGGGAAAATAATAAGTAATTTTAAGTAAACGATTGTTTTCTAAAACATAAATATATGGGAAAATAATAAGTAATTTTTATAAATGACTAATAAATAATGGTTTCATAATTTTTTTTAAAGGTACATCTGAGCAAACAGAAAGTAAGATCGACCAAAATATTGGTGGAAGCTGTAGAGGCAATCCTCCGAAAAGATTGTTTACTTTAAAGCTGAAAATATATGTTTGTAAAAAAGATGAAGTTGAAAAGAAAATGTGTGAAATTTGTCAAACAGTTTCATGCTACGAGAAAGGTTTTCACAACTTTTTAATTTTATTTTAGAAAATATTTTATCTTTTTATATTCTATAATGACCAATTCTTTTTGACACCGTCAACTTAACATTATCTCAGTTTTAAATTATTTTTGATACATAAGTTTAAATTCATAAAAATAATTGAACTCTAATTCCAGTGTCTAACTAAGAGTTACTGAAAATTCGGTATTTTGATTTTTGCCGATTCGGTTTTTGGATTTTTGAAAACCGCCGGATATTGTATAACCAATAAATAAAATTTTCAATATGATAAAAATAAAAAATGTTTTAATTTCATTTTTATAAATCTTTACTTAATTTTAAATATTACTATATTTGATCTTGTCTTGCAAAATATAATTTAACTGTTGATTTTCTAAAAAAATAGACAATTTTACATGAGTTTTTGATGTTTTTATGAATATTTAGTATATTTTCAAATTCAACTTTTGACAGAATAACAGCTTCATCTTTATCTTCAAAACAATCTCTATCACTATCAGCATTGTCTTTATTTCATTATTATTAACATCACTGAATAAATTATTCTGTATATGTTCCAATTCAAATATTTTTTTTTTAATAAAGTGTGTCACAAACAGCTAATTGGGCTCTCTCTGCCATACCTCTTATCATCAAGGTGCACCATCACAAGTTGACGCAGCAATATCTTTCTCAAAATAAATTTTAAAGATTTTTGAATAAATTTTAACTTGATCAACTAAGTCAGATGCAGAACAAGATCCAAAAATTCTCACTAATCTAAGATTAAACGGTTCTTTTTCTTTAGCATCGTCTAAATTGATATTACGATAGTGTTATTGATGTTAACTGAATCTTCTATTAATCTTCAGCTTTTCAATTAATATTGCGCTCGATTTAGCCTTTTTTTTCTTCGTAACTTTAATGAATAAGTCCAATGACGTTGGATTCATTTTTTGCAGTTGTTTGGCACATTTGGCTATTGACTTTTGTATAAAATTAGATATAATTTAAAAGTCATAAAGCCAAATATTGTTTTTTTTTTCATAACTGGCTCACCATTATCACCAGTATAACTCCATGAATCGTTTTTATGTGGTTTATAATTGCACCAGTACAGCCATTGCTGTATCGCTGAATGTAAAATAAATTTCTTATGGAAAAACAGAATTTAAATGTGCCAAAAAAAAATTTTTTTTTGGCATATTTTACATTCTGTTTTTTTTATAAGAAATTTGGTTAAAATGTTTTCATTTTTGATGTATTTTTTGGAACTCATCTAGATGGGTTAAAATCAGAAACTTTTATCATGAAAGGATAATTAAAACTAACTGAAAGATTTATTTAGCTTTATGTTTTGTCAAATAAATTTTTAAGGTTTATTTAAACTAACTATTAAACACGATTCACATCAACATACGATTCACTTTAAATAATGATTGAAGAATCAATTCTAAAAACTTCATCAATCAAGTTTAACAAATATCTGTAATAGCATGCGATCGCACACCATTCCTGTCAAGCCTAACAGTACATTTTACAGCATAGTTTTATATCATTGTTCATCGTAGCATTTATGAAGTTTTTATATATATATATATATATATATATATATATATATATATATATATATTATTAATTCACCTCCCCAAGGCTCAAGGCTACTAAAAGCGAGGAGGCTACTTATCTGTGGCTACATTGACATATGTAATGCATGTAACATATAATGAACATGTTTTAACATGCTCAGTCTTTATCAAATCTTTATTAAACTTTATCAAATGGAATTTTCCAAACTGGAACAATGTCCTCTGTAGTACTTTACTCATTTTTTAATTTTATTAATTAATTCACTTGATTTTTTGCAATACAAAGAATTGTTTTTTTAACTTATTTACTAAAGTGAAAAAATTTTTAATAAGTTTTTAAAATTTTTGATAAAGCCTAATTATAATTTGTTTAAACCACATGGGGACATGATTATTATGAGCATCAAAATCTTTTGAAATATTTTCTTTCCTTTTTTTTTTTATCAGGGAGTGATAAAATCTCTTTTTTGCAACAGTTTGTGTACACCAAATAATTATTAGCCTTAAAGTCTTTATATTTACTTTAGCCCTAAGTTCTTACATTTGTTATTTAATCTTACATAAAGATATTATTATTATTAATTAAGTAAAGATATATTTATTAATAATATATTTATTATTTAATCTTACATTTTTTCTCCAAGAATAACAATGTTTTTCAAATTGCGAAAAGGTGAATATTAATATACTTAAACAAACACAAATATAGTGTTGTTGTTTTTTTGTTGTTGTTTTTTAATGCAATTTATTGTGGTCAATTAACCTAAAATTCAAAATCAAGGCAAAAGTTAAAAAATAAGTAAAATATACATTAAATTTTTTTTTATATAAAAAATGGTTGTTATTAATGCCATTCAGGACTCCAAAATTAATATAATTTTTTTTCTAGACCTCCTTTAATCTGAGCTTGGTGGAGCGTGTTGCAAAATTATGAAGCACAAGATAAGTTTATAAAATAATTTTTTGTAAAAAAAATTAAAAATTTTAATTTTAGGTTGTGGAAAGTGGTTAACCTTAAGTGATTTAACAATTTCAAATCACATATGGAATGGATCACACTGTTTAAGGAAACTACCTAGACAATGCATTTCTCCTTATTTTCAATGTGATGGATTACCTTACAGTTATGAAGTTGAAAATAACAAAGAGGCGTGCAAATTAGGTTAAATTGGTTGTTATAATTCTTTTTTTTCAGTATAAAGACAACAAAAATTCTGTAACAAAAATCAATATTTACAAAAAATAACAGTTCTGAAAATCATTGAAAATTACTTACATACCTCACTTTTTTTTTTTTTTATTTATTCCAAACAAGCTTACAATAAAAGAATTAATAAAATACTTATAAACAAGAAGCATGAGTTTTGTTAACTTTACAATAAGAACTTAAAGATAGAATAATTAAAGATATTAAAAATAAATGATATATATATATATATATATATATATATATATATATATATATATATATATATATACACTTAAACAATTTGAAATGTATTCTACAAAAAGAGTGCTCAATGTTCTTAAATGAACAGAGCAATTACAAATTAGTAGAAAATCACTTAGCAAAATTTTTTTTGAAAAAAAAAAATTTTTTGCTAAGTGATTTTCTGCTAATTTATATATATATATATATATATATATATATATATATATATATATATATATATATATATATATATATATATATATATATATATATATATATATATATATATATATATATATATATATATATATATTTATATATATATATATATATATATATATATATATATATTCTCAAAATGTTTATTTTATGACTTAAGTCCTATTAGCACTAAGCTCTTCATTTAAAAACTTGTAATACAGTGTATATCAGAAAAAGAATGTTATCTTTTAATTTAATACGCAATGAGTTTTAATTTTATGTATATTAAATTTGCTTTTTTTAGATCTAAGTAATTAGATTTGAATAGGGTTTTTAAGTGTTGTGTCACTAGATGCAAAGGTAACTACAATGTTACAAGGTCAGTGAAATTATTTGGCCTTTTAAATAAAAAGAATGTGAAAGAAGAAAAAAAATAGATAAGTGTTATACTTTGAGGTAATGTTTCAGATAGCTCAAATAATTTTGTTTATGAAGATCATTGGCCTAAAAAGTAGTTCAAGTCAAATTCCAACTCCACAGACACCACCAATTTGTTCAAGTCAAATTCCAACTCCACAGACACCACCAACACTAACTAATAAATCATAGCCATCTTTAAAAAGTGCTGTGCCTGATAAAATAAAGATTTTTGTGAATGGGGACAATATTACATTATTCAAAGATTTGTATAGTAAAATGTCTACTTTTTCCATTTCAGTAATATTAAGTATCTATGAAAACTGTTTACATCTTCAATTTGCTATATTCTATTGGACCAAAATTTATTTTGCCTGTATTAGTCATCTTCATGCTGTATTAGTCATCTTCATGCTGCATTAGTCATTTTTATGTTGCATTACACTATCTGAATTCTTTACCAATTGGTCACAGGAAAAGTATTATTATTGGACAGGTGTTAAGTATGAACTCATTACTGTTTATTGGTAAAAAAAAGTATTCTCCTGATATGGTTGCCAGGGCATTTGAGTACTTTTTATTGTCAAGAACTCTTTACTTTTGATTACCTGATGACTATAAACTACCAAGTATATCACTGATCCTAAAATTGACATCTAAAAATAGAAAGACAGGTTATCCTACTAATTGATGAAATTTATGTTATATGACAGTTTAATTATCAATGAGGAAACATTTTTGGTAAATCTGTTAATTTCGAAATGAATTAACAAAAACAGTTTTGGGTATAATAATTTGTTTTTGGTGAAAAACAGTTTTTGTATAAAGCATTAGCAGTAACAGGTTTAGATGCTAATTTTCAATATAATCAAACAACGCAAATGTTTGAAGTGTGTTTCTGTTATTGCTATTCTTGGCAACAATAACAAAATAAATAAAAAATTTTTTGCAATGTTTAATCTTCAAAATACTTGGTGCATTTATGAAAACAAAAGATATTTTAAAAAACATAATGAAATATAATAAGAAGCTAAAGTAGTTACAGTCGACTCTTGATATCTCGAATACTTGGTATCTCGAACTTTTGAGTATCTCAAACTTTTTTAGCTGTCCTATGGACATAATGTACTAGTTTAGGCTAAAATCCTCTCGATATCTCGAACCTTAATATCTCAAACTTTTTGGTATCTCGAACAATATTTTCGGTCCACAGGGCAATTTTCTCTCGTTATCTCGAACTATTCAACATTTTTTTTTTCAAAAATGTTTTAATAAAATTTAATTTTTTTAAAATTCCAATTTTTCGAAAAAAAAAAAAATTTAATTCGATTTTTTAATTCGATTTTTTTTAAGAATCGAATTTCTGAAAAGTTTTCCTTTAATATATTGATTTATTCTTTTTGTCTAACGCAACAACATGCCGCTCGTTAAACGAAAACTCACGAACAAATCTATAAAAGAAAAATGCAAGGCATTAAAAGACCTAGAGACAGGGATGTCTAACAAAGAGGTTGCCAAAAAGTATGGAGTCCCAAAGAACACATTATCAACCTGGATTAAAAATAAAACCAAGTTATTAACCTCACTGGAAATAAAATGGCACTAAATCTAAACGGAAGAAACTTTGTAGTGGTAATTTCAAAAATGTAGACAAGGCCATATACACGTGGTTCGTTGCAAAAAAAAGTCAACAAGTACCAATTGATGGTATCATACTAAAAGAAAAAGCACTAAAATTCGCAGAAGCATTAGGAGAGTTGGATTTTAAAGCATCTGATTGTTGGTTTCATAATTTGAAAGAAAGGTCAGTTAAATTTTGTCAAATCTTGTTCAATTTTAATATAAATAAATAACATGTATCTGTTTATATTTAATTTATTTAGTTAGCACTCCTAGTGGATAACTGTTCTGCCCACCCACACATTGAAGGGCTAAGCAACATCAACCTAATATTTTCCCCCCTAACACCACATCTGTCCTTCACCCCATGAATCAAGGCATAATACGAAGTCTTAAAGCTAATTGTCGTCACAAAATTGCGCGTTTGTGTATCAAGGCTATCAATAATAACGAACCCATGCCAAAAATTTCTATACTTCAAGCAATGAAGATCTTGTTTCTTTGTGGAATGCTGTGTTGAAGGAGACTGTCATCAACTGCTTTAAAAAAGCTGGTATCAGCAAAACAAACAAGAGTATGGAAGAAGCTGATGATGATCATCCTTTTAAATTTTTGACAGAAGAACTTAACAGTTTGCAAGAGTTAAATCCTCATGCCATTCAAGAAGATCTCTCAGCGGAATCTTACATTGGTTTAAATTGCGATGTAGTAACCACCGGTTCACTTGCTACTGATGCTGAAATCATTGCTCAGATTTTAGACCCTAATTTTAAAAATGACGATAATTAAGTTGAAGATAGCGTTGACGAAGTTATTGACGTCGAAGCCCCGCCACGCCCATCTGATATTCAATTAAAAATTGCTTTTGAAACGATTCAAAATGCTTCGCTATACAGCTCAAAATACGGAAATGAAATACAATCCCTAGCACTAAAACTTGAGGATTTAATGAAGATGGAAAAGATGGATAATTTAAAGCAATATCAGATAACAGATTTTTTCCAAAAGTTGTAGTTTTTGTTGTTAATGATTTTTGTCAGAAAAATAACTTGTTTTAATGAAAGTCAGGCAATTTTATTTATTTTCAACCCTTTTTTTGGTATCTCGAACTCTCGATATCTTGAACCTTTTTTTCGATCCCCTTAGTGTTCGAGATATCGAGAGTCGACTGTATATATATATATAACTACTTTAGCTTATATATACTTTAATATATATATATATATATATATATATATATATATATATATATATATATATATATATATATATATATATATATATACATACATACATACATACATACATACATACATAATCAATACTTTAATATATACCAACTTACAATTTAACTACATATTGATGAAGTATATTTTCCTAAAGCTGGATATAGGTCCAGATTAGAGCATTGTCTATTAGCAGAAATGTAATGAAATACATATAGACCTCTCATTTTGAGCACAAGTCTATTTACTAAAACTTTTCAAAATCAACAAAAAAATAATTATTATTAAAATTATGTCTAGGCTGCTTAAGAAATTAAACATAGAAGTAGATAAATAAAGAACATATATAACTTATGTAATTTTTATTTTTTATAAAAAAAATGTCATAGAGAAGTTTTCAATTCAAACTTATAAACTAAATGTTAAAAGTTTTGGACTTGTGTACTTTTCGAAATGACAGGTCCATATGTATTAAATAAAAAAATAAGTTAAATACATTCTAATAATTAGCATATTAAAAAAAGCAGAAGGCAGTAAAGATAAATAAACTAAATATTGATAGAAATAGCTTTTAACAAGCAATTTTAAAATAAAGCATTGATAAATTATAGTATTAAAAATAAAAATAGCAAAATAAAATAAATTAATTTTGTTCTTTTATATAAAACACAAAACTTAACATTAACATCCATTAAGTGCCTAACTTGATTCTCTAATTTCGGTTTTTCATAACTAAATACAGTCGACTATAACACAAGCACACAGTTAAGTATTATTTTTAACAATATTTTATATTTGTAAAAGAGTTTGCAGTGTGCATAAATATAACAAAAAAACTTCTGTGCAAGCTTCTTCCAAATGTGGATCCTGAAATGAATAAACACTTGTAATTATTTGTGTATGTATTATATATATATAAAGTATAGGCAACATATACCGTATGAAATTATAGACTCTAATTACTACAACTTTAACTAAAATAAATAAATAATTTATGCACCATTTGTTTAATTAAAAACCATGACAAAATATGTTAAAATAAAATCAAGATAAATCTAAAGTCAACATTTGACTATGATATTATCGCTGCAAAAAGAAAAACGCGTATATGTTAGTGAAAAAATATATATCTAAAATCTTTCATGAACTGTATATCTTCTAAATTTTTTGATAATTGAAAAATATTTTATTGATAAATATTGAGATTTAATTAAAGAAATATATATAGATATATACACCAAACTTAGCCATTAAAAATGCTTTATTTTAACTATCGTCTTAACCGGTGTATTTCTTATGTTGATAGATATATGCATCAAAACTTTAGTTCTTTGGTTTCTTTCAGTTATTTATACATGTAAAGGTAAACCCCTATTTAAGAAACATGGTAACTAAATTAATTAAAAGAAGCCTTTTGGTGCTAAGTTGTGAAAAGAAAATTAATAAAAATAATCCTTCAAAAATAAAGTCAAAGTAACTTTGTGACCTTTATCAGCTTTATCATAATCTAACTATCGATTTAAATTTTTGATTTAAACCCAGATAGTCACTGGGTTTCAGAGTACTAGCTTGTTTCCACTCAACATCAATAAAATCGATCAGATCAAAGAAAAATCAAGAGGTTGCAAAACAACAGTAATCAGCCCAATCATTTGGATCAGCTTTGCAACAAATGTTTCGTATCCAACACATTGACAGAAAAAAAAAGAAAAAATGTAGATGTGCCAAGATTTAAAGGGGAGTGTCTCAACAAACGTGTTGAATGCCGCAAAAGTAAAAACTCAACTCAACCTCTAGTACCTTTAAATGGCTCAACATCATCACAAGAATAAAAAAGTTTATTTGATTTGATTGATTTTTTTAATTGTTATTATTGATTGCTTTTTTGTTTTTTTAATAAAGTGTTGTTTTAATTACACTTACATTTGTGTATTTCATTCTTCTCGAATGTCAGTGTAGAATGAAATAAAATTTTTTTTAATCAACTAAAGTTTCATAAAAATCCTTAACTATTTCATTTGAGATTTAATTAAAGAAAAAAACTCCATTTTACTCTATATCTTTTTATATATATATATATATATATTATATATTTTAAAATAGTTATATATATGTATGTATATATATATATATATATATATATATATGTGCACATGTGTATATAGACACATATGTGTGCGTATATATATATATATATATATATATATATATATATATATATATATATATTTATACATTTTATTATTTTAAAAAGTTATTTTTTCATAAAGAGTTTTTCGCGCAATAAAAGGTTTTATTAGATTATATCTAATAAAATAATGTTTTCATCTAAGATGAAACCTCATTTTGGAGGTTTCATTCATTGTTTGTTTCCTTTCATTTATTTAATGTTTTAAAAATCTTTATTCATCATAAATTAATTACTATCAAATTAACTTATTCAAAACCAAAATAAAAAATAAAGATCTTTTTTAAGTTTCTTTCTATTGTCCCTGGCCACCAGCATTAATTTTTGTTGCATATTGTCAGATTTATATCCACCTATAAAGTCCTGAATGAGGCGTATGTTTCTATCAGCACAATCGTTGACGCAAGTCAAATTTTTAACAAATTTTTTGAATAAATTTAATGACTTTGGGGCTTTTTCCATCCTCCACAGCTCTACTTCACCATCAGGGACTTCTGCGATTTTTAACAGAAGCCAACTTTCTGGACCTACCAGTTCCCAAAGCTCAGTGGACTCTGATATGATTGGTAGCTCAGGTTTTCCAATCTTGAACTTGTCAGGAACATCGAACTGAAATAATCTATCCAACATCTCTTTTTTCACTTCCTGCTCTACATCATCATCAGCCAGAGATAGCAGCACCAACTGCTCAGTCAAGTACCAGGTATGTCTTTGGATACTAGCAACCAATGCTGAACCAAGATTGGGATATTTTTCTTTGATACAAAAAGCATTCTTACAAGCTGCAAGATCATTTGAGGGTGAACTTGCAACCAAGTACGACTTTAGAAACCAAGGTGCATACCAGACAGATGTGAAAAAAGCTGCTGTCTCTATCTTTTTTTTTTCCACTTCGCTCATAATCATTGTGATTTTATCGGTTATTCTCAGGGTAAGAATGTATAAAGCATCAGCCATAAACCTAAAGAGTAAGATTTTGTCAATATTAATATTTATTTATTATATTATTTTATTTATATGTTATTTATTATACTTAACTTTTTTTATTTTAATATACTGTACCTAGCTTCATGGCAGGCTCCAGGTTGATGAAAACACAGTCCAGGTACTTCTCCTCCCAAATAGAAAACAAAAAGCTCGCATAGTTTCCTGTAATCATTCCTCACAAAAGTTTTTGAGGCAAGGGCCTCTTTTCCGAACTCCAGAGCTTTCTTAGCAATTTCATAAAGAGGTGACTCAACCTGAAGCTGACTCCAATCAAACCTAACTAGATCTATCATCTTGTCAACCACTTTTTTGAAAAAACACCAATTATTCTGGAGTTTGACATACAGTCCTTTTCTTGGGCCCTTCATCTTCTCTCCAGTCAAAGCCTCCATAAAGTGTGAGATGTGTATTTCTAGCATATGTCTTCTACAGAGAAACCATATAAGTGGAATATTAAGAATGGAACTAAGGATAACAACAGCTCCGGAGTGTAACAACTTGGTGTCTGAACAACACCTAGCAGTATGTCATCTGTGTCATCCATATCAGGGGATGTAACACTAACCGCTATTCTTTCTACAGAAACAGTTATTTTTAGATCTTCTTCAATCTGTTTTATCCTTTTTCCATCAAAATGAACACATAGCTTTTTTCCCTTCAGAGTAGTTATAATTTCTTGCCTGAGCTTATCTCCTAATATCTCAATTTTTTTGAATCTTTTTCTATGAACGGTACTTCTTGATAGATTAATATCTTCTAGATTTACACCAGCTTTATTGCAAATAGCAGCTACTAATAAAGTTTGTGGGCGTATACCTACTCTGAATCGGGCAGAAACTGCAGCAGTGCAGTCTACCAGATCTTCAGCACTTATACTTATCATTATCTTAGATTTAGTAGAATGACTGAATCTAT